ACTCATTTCTTTCCTTAAAATATCAGGAGTTTATTACAATCTCAGAAGGAAGCTAATGTCTCAGCCATGAACTTTTTTTTCTTTTTGTTTACCCCACTGTTAAGAGGGAATTCAGAGTGTCATTTTCTCTTTATGTTTTGAAAAGTTTAAAAAGTGTATGCCCGCAGTACAGATTTATTAATCAGTGGTTTGCCAGATGAGATTCTTTGATGAATTCCATAGAGTACAATATAGAGGTGCATTCTGTTCTATGAAACCTAGAAAGTAATGTTTCATAGAAGAAGGAACTGTGATCATTTTTAAAAGCATAGCTTTTTATTATTTGGACAAAAGTGGACTGTATTTTAATAATTACCTTTTAAATTAGGCCTCCAATTTTATTTAATTAATTTTGTGCCTGTACTGGTGCTTGAACATAGGGCCTCTCACTCTCACTTGTCTTTTTTCACTTAAATCTGGCACTCTACCTACCACTTGAGCAATATCTCCACTTAGGGTTTTTTGCTGGTTAATTTTGGAGATAAGGGTCTCATGAACTTTTCTTTCCCAGGCTGCCTTTTGAGCTGTGATCCACAGATCTCAGCCTCCTGAGTAACTAGGATTACAGGTGTAAGCCACAATGCCCATAGCCATCTCAATTTTATCTACCAGAATATATTTGATCAAATTTAATAACTAAAATAAAATTTGTTAACCAAAATAGAAAATTGTTTTTCTTAGTGATAAATGATAAGCTGTGAAGGCAATACTTTCAATCAACTGGACAACTAAGGTGAGAATAAATTATAAAGTAATGTGCCAGATTTTTAGCTTTTGACCAGAATTTCATTCTCTTTCTCTTTTTTCCATAAGTTTCTGTTCACTGGAAGACCGAAAAGCTTAAGACAAAAAGTTAATGAAATAATTGAAGTAATCCTTACTCTCAAATCTAAAGATTTTGTTTTTATTACTTAACTATTTTAAATGAAATTATTTAACAATTTTTTTAGATGAATTATTTAATAAGTGTTGTCATCTGTAGATACTACCCATATGCTCAATTTTTTTCATTAATGAATTGGAAACATACAGCTATAGATTTTAATCTTTTGTTCTTTGTATATCTTATGCTTTAAGAATGATTTTTTTCTTTCTTTCCTAGTCATGGCACAAATTGAAAAACAAAAGAGATTTGAACAGTATACTACCTTTAAGAGCTGCTATCCTGAAAAGATAACTCACCTCTATTAAATTCGTCAAGAAATAAAGAACAATAGTTACTTCATAATGTATATTGTTTACCTCCATCATGTTTTTTTTTAAATTGTTCTTGTTTCCATGTTTCATTTTTATAAGGACATACATAAAGATTGCATATTTTATTATGATGTTTCCTAATAAAATTCTTTGATTTAAAAATGTATTTTTGAAAATGTTTACATTGATAACTAGTAATATTATTACATGAATTTTCAGACAATTAGATAAAATATATTTTGGGAAATTACCTGAACAAATGAAAGGTTTTGATATTACTTCAATTATTTGTAAAAGTTGTGTGACATTTTGAAAAGGTTCTGATTTATACATACTTATTACTGTATGACCTACAATAGGTTGTTGTCTATGTTGTTTTAGTAAAGTGATGATTCAAGTCAGTTATTCAGTTACTTGAAGTAAAATGAAATCTTTTATTTCAGTGAAATCACTGGAGTCATGAAATACTGGACAGTTACCTTAAGTCTTCATTTGACTCCTTGGACAGACTGAGGCTTTAAGTGTGCCTGTACTAGCATTTCATCAGTATTTTTCCATGCTTTTGATGGATTCTTCCGATTGCTTTACATTTTATGTTGAAACAACAATAAGAACATTTTCCACTTTTATTGTGACCACTGACACAGCAGTTAGTAACTTGATACTGGATTATTTTAAAGACAAGACATTTGGAAAAGACGAAGTTTCCTGTGCTCTGATAATATAGTACATTGTGCACTTTTTCTGTTTTCCTGCTTTTTCCCCCCTGTGACAAGAAGAAACAAAAACTGAAACATCAAGGTTAAGATCATTTCCTGTTTGTAGAATCAGATTTTTTTTCTGTGTACAGTTACAGTATTGGAATTTAGTATATCTTTTTACACAAAGTAGAGGCTGCTGAAAAAGCTACAGTGTTTATTGAAGTTGTTTTTGATTTTTGTAAATATTTGTGAATTGTTACATGTAAATTTAAATATAAAAACTAATCTCGAAAACAGTTTTAACTTTTTCAAAAGAACCGCTAACAACTTCTTTTAGACCTACTGTAGTACAATTTGTACCTCATGTATTTTTTTTTGCAGACCAACTCAAAAGTTAAGCTAAAACTTTTCTTTGACTTACAAAAGGTGCATATTTTCATTTTAAGTTTCAATTTTTGTATGATGTCAAATAAAGTTTGTACATAGAAATATGAGTCTTGAAAAATGTTTATATATTCACATTTTATCAAAATATATTGAATATAATATTCTTGTGATGAATCTTGAGTAATCATGGTCATAATAGTACATTGTCATTCAGCAATATTGTACAATTCTTAGGGATGAATTCAGTGTTATGAGGCCACAATTGTTGTATGTACTCTCACTGTTACTGTGTTCTCAGCTCTTAATGACTTTACTCTTACTCTTTTTCAGTCTATTTGTCGTAAGAAATAGATCAATAAGTTAAGTTTGTGTTCTAAATCAAAGACTTCAGTTATTTTCCGTTTTAGATATTTGTGTATTGATCTCTCCATTTCTGCATTTTTGAATGTGTTAAGGAATTGTTAGCCAGGCTCTTATCTTGATCTGGTTCAATGACAGCCCAGCAGACCAAGAAACTCTTAGCTCCACTTAACTGGCAAAGAGCTGGAAGTGAGATGTATTGCATTCAAGCCATTGCAACTGGTAATACTCAACCTCCATATGTTACATTCAGCAGTTAAAAACAGAATCTGCTATAATTAAATATTTGCTGTTGTAGCCATAGAGTCATTCCCACTAGTCAAAATTATGAATTGTAAAGGCACATCTATCTGGTTGACATACTCAGCAGATATGGTCTGGTCTGGTATTCAGGAAACAATTTGGTAATGTTCTGTAGTGCTATGTACTAGGTACTTGGCCAGTTTATGAGCTTGTGAGGGCTTGGGTTGGTGGGAGGAAAAATGAGTAATGAATTTTAAAAGTACCCTGGGGACAGAAATACTAGCATACTTCCTCTCTCCCCACCTCTCCCGCTCCCGGCCTGGGATCCTGGGGCTTTTAAAACTCAGGGCCTGGGTACTATCCTGTGCTGCTGGTTTTGCTGAAGGCTAGCATTCCACCACTTGAGCCACAGCTCTACTTCCAGCTTTTTTGATAGTTAACTGGAGATGAAAGTCTCATGGAAGCTGGGCGCTGGTGGCTCACGCCTGTAATCCTAGCTACTCAGGAGGCTGAGATCTGAGGATCGCGGTTCAAAGCCAGCCCGGGCAGGAGAGACCGTGAGACTCCTATTTCCAACAAACCACCAGAAAACCGGAAGTGGCGCTGTAGCTCAAGTGGTAGAGCGCTCGCCTTGAGCTGAAGAGCTGAGGGACAGCACCCAGGCCCAGAGTTAAAGCCCCACGACCGACAAAAAAAAAAAAGTCTCATGGACTTAACCTGCTGGAGCTAGCTTTGAGCCTTAGAACTCAGCTGTACTACAGGCATGAGCCATAGAACCCTGGCGACCAACATAACTTGTAACATAGACTGTAGTGGGAACCTGGAAGAAGAGGATTGCAGAAAAGAGTGATGATCTTTAATAATAATCAAAAAGACCAGATCCTTTCAAGCAGAGGAGTTGTGTGAAAGTATAGGGGAGGGACTTGATGATGTTGGGAGCTCTTCTAAAAGAGCACGTAGGAAAGATGTAGGTTGCTAGGCAAGATTTGATCTTTGTGAGGGTCTTGTGCTTCAGTCTTGGAGCAGTCAGGGGTTTTAAGTACTGGTTTTACATGATACAGTAAAACTTGGGTCCTTCAGGCTGAATTTCAGGTAAAACTTAATTTTTTTTGTTGGTCATGGGACTAGAACTCAGCCTGGGTGCTGTCCCTCAGCTCTTCAGCTCAAGGTGAGCGCTCTACCACTTGAGCTACAGCACCACTTCCGGTTTTCTGGTGGTTTATTGGAGATAAGAGTCTCACGGACTTTCCTGCCCAGTCTGGCTTTGAACCACGATCCTCAGATCTCAGCCTCCTGAGTAGCTAAGATTACAGGCCTGAGCCACCGGCGCCCTGCTTAAAACAAGATTTTTGAGGACTGCGAGTTTAAGGTTAGTGGAGCTACAACTATTCTGGCTAAACGATCAGAGACCACTGAGGCAGGGAATATGGTTTACCAACTTGCAATACAGAGGAAGTCTATACCGAACCATGAACCAAAAGTGAGGTCTTGAATTGTGCTAGCCTAGTACTCTTCCCTTGAATCACTTCATTTGCAACGATTGGGAACCTTAGCTACCTTAGCTCCCACTGAGCCTCCCGTTCCTCTAGAAGAGGAACTCCTATTGCCAGTGAAGTTCAGAGATGAGAGTGAGATGTTGGATCTAGTAACAGTAAGGGAGTAACTTAGGAGCCCCAGCTCCTTCCTAAGTTTGGAGTAAAGGGTCCATCAGAACGCTGAACTAAGAAGCGTTAACCCTACCGAGTTCCAGGGCTGGGTCGCTTTTACCCTCTGAGGTCGGAGCGCAGCCTGAGCCCTCTGCGGGGGCCCGGTGGGGAGGACGCTCGGGAAGCTGGCAGAGCTCAGGAAAGCAGCCCAGCAGGGCCCCGGGGGGCCCGGGAGCTCAGGCGGCGAAACTTTTTGACGCCTTCTATTTAAAGTCTCAGGGCTCACCCGCCCCCGCCCGGGAACCCGAGCCGCCCCGCCCCGGCCGGGCCGGTGGCACAGGGTGGTGCCCGGCCGAGGTGCAGTCAGAGGGAGAACACCAGGCGCAGCGCGGCGTGGGCGCTCCGACTCCGGCCCGGGACAGGCGCGATGGCGAGCCGCGACGGCAACCGCACCACCGAAGGCCTGCTCGGCTCCGACGGGGACGAGGAGGCGGCCCGGGAGCTGGACACCGAGGAGGAGGAGTCGTCGGAGGGCGAGGAGGAGGACACGGCCGAGTCGGAGGAGGAGCCCGAAGCCAGGTACCATGGCCGAGCCCCAGGGCTGGGCCCCGGGCAGCTGGGCCGCAGCGCAGGTGTGAGTAGGGCCACTAGCCGCTCCGGGGGGGTACTTGTTGCTTTCTCCTTTATGGATCTGGAGTTCATTTTCCTGGAAGGAAGCACTTTCCGTCTTGGGACTTGCTGCCTTCATTTTTCTCTTCTGAGCTGGAAGGTGAAGGTGCTCGCTGTCAGCTGGAGTGACAGGCCCGCCTGCAGAAAAGTTTACTATGGCCATCCCTTCCCCCAACCCGCTGAGCCCCAGCTCCTTGTGACTTGCTGCTCTTATTTATTCTTGGAGATTTACGTAGGGTCCTCATAACTCTGGAAGGCTCACCCTAGCCCAAGGCACAAGATCAATCTGGAAAAACCTAGGCTACAGGGAGTGGAGGCTAAGAAGGTGGCTCTGATAGCTTCAAATGGATGGTAGCTTCGTGGATGCACAACTGTGTGCTATGAAGGGATTTTATTTTGGTACGGAGACCCCTAACATAAATTTCTTAGGGAGAAAAGAAGCCTCAAGGCCATTTGAGGTGAAGGCAAAGGTGGAGGAATGTGAGTTCTAGGATAGCTTCCAGACCTTGTCTCAAAAACAAACCAAAACAAGGTTGGGAGTGTGGCTCTAATGGTAGAGCCTTTGCCTACCAAGCACTGGCCCTTAGGTCAAACTCCACTACTACATAAACAGCACTAGCTAGCAACTCCTGCTCTTAAGTTCCTACTGGCCCCAAGATCTAAACTACCAACATTTCTTTAAATGTAAATACATGAAATAAGAATTTTGCAATTGCATTATAAAACATTATTGTTTGATCTTCCCTCATAAAGGCACTAAAATAAAAATATTAGAAATGGTTTGTGTGTGTGTGTGTGTGTGTGTGTGTGTGTCAGTTGAGGTGCCTGAACTCTGGGCCTGGGCCCTGTCCCTCAGCTTTTAAGCTCAAGCCTAGTGTGCTACCACTTGAGTCACAGTGCCACTTCTGGTTTTTTCTGCTTATATGGTGCTGAGGAATCAAACTCAGGGCCTCATGCATGCAAGGCAAGCACTCTACCACTGAGCTTTTTTTTTTTCTTTCTGAGTTTGCATGGGTCAATGCCTTGCATGCATGAGGCCCTGGGTTTGATTCCTCAGCACCACATAAGCAACCGGAAGTGGCGCTGTGGCTCAAGTGGTAGAGCTCTAGCCTTGAGCTAAAGAGCTGAGGGACAGCGCCCAGGCCCAGAGTTCAGGCCCCACGACCGGACCCCCCCGCCAAAAAAAAGTTTGAAGGTGGCGAATGGATATGTACCATTTGAGCATGCATGCATACTCAGTGCCCAACTCATTCCAGCAAGCTAAAATGAAAAAGTAGACCATAGAGGGGCACTGGCCAGGGTAAATGGTCAGTCAGATAGGATCTTCAGTTATGGGTCTTGTTCTCCAAGCAACTACTAAAAAGGAAGCAGGTATAGACTCTGCCCTCAAGATATTTATGGGATATTAGGGAGAAATATGGGGAGTATGAGACTATGTGTTTAGAAACAATGGAGACGGAAGACAGATTGTGGAAAATCAGGAGAGAGGGTTAAGCTTTGGCTACCTTACAGGAGTAGGCAGGAGCCTGGCTTTATGAAATGAGCTTACCCTGGCCCAAGGCACAGGATCAATCTGGAAAAACCTAAGCTTTTAAAATTCTTTCTTTCTTTCTTTCTTCCTTCCTTCCTTCCTGTTTGTCTTTCTGTCTTTTTTTTTTTTTTTTGGTCGGTCCTGGGGCCTGAACTCTGGGTCTGGGCGCTGTCCCTCAGCTCTTCAGCTCAAGGAAAGCTAGTGCTCTACCACTTGAGCCACAGTGCCACTTCCGACTTTTTCTGCTTATGTGGTGCTGAGGGATTGAACCCAGGGCCTCATGCATGCAAGGCAAGCACTCTACCACTGAGCCACCTTCCTAGCCCCTATTCCCTTTTTCCTGTATTTAATTTAAAATTTTTTTTATGATTCTGTTTTCTTTATGTATAGTCTATTTGAATGTATATCTTCAGATGGTGGGGGGAAGGTACAAAAAAAGGGTGAAAAAGTGCAGCAGCTCACTGGACACTGATGAAAGTGAGGGACTGGGGGAGAGTAAGGGAAGGAAGACAATGTACAAAAGGAAATGCACTCATTACCTGACTCATGAAATTGTATTCTCACTGTACATCACCTCTACAATAACAACAAAGTCAATTTTAAAAAAAGAAAATGGGCAGGAGATGCATAAAGGAATAAGAGAGAAGGCACCCATGAGATATGGAACAAGGAGTAGAGACCTGCAATCCTCAGTACATTGAGAAGGGAAAGTGTGGCAGCCTTGCCTTTATAATAGTAACACCTAGGATGTGCCTAACTCTGTAAAAGTAATATCCCCCAGGAGATCCTGAAAACTCATTTAATACTAAAATGTGAGCAGCTGACAGTTTGAAGCACCACTTTGTGGCTGCATTGCCTGTAGACAGAGGTCAGAACCTTGAAGTGATATGATTTATCTTCAGTAAACTTCAGCCCTCTCTTACTATGGATGGAAAGATATCAGAACAAGCAGAGTAGGAAGAAACACAAGAGATCGAGCCCTTTAAAAAAAAATCACATTTTTTGGTTTTTGACAAAAAAAGTAATTAGGAGTCAGTAAAACTTATGATCAGAACTTGAAGAATAACAGATTTTGTTATAGAAAGTAGTCTGTAGACTGGTTGGGACACTAGGGTCATTATCGAGGGTGTAGTCCACGGTGGGACAATGGGGAAAGGAGCCAGTGGAGGTAGCTAGAGGTAGAGGGAGGTCAGCGAGGGGCAATTCCCAGTGGAATGGGGAGCCTCCCTGTGCTATGACAGTCAAACCACAAATTGAGTTTACAAATGTGGCCTAACATTCTGGGTTCTTCTGAGACTTGAATTGAGGACTTGGGATATTTTCTAAGAGATGGAGGGTGAGAGTGATAAACCATGCTATCCTTTCTTCAAGCTCTTCCACAATGAAGAGACCCTGAATCACTGTAAGGGGCATGGTGCTCAGTGTTCTTCTGTTGACTCTAGTTAAATCCTTGTTGGAATGCTGTTATGTGACTTGCCTGTTACAGATGAGGGAAACGAAGTTTCACATCATTTACTGAGATCAAAGCAAGCACCCTGGGAGCCTAGGTCTGTGCACTCATGCTGGTAGACTTTGACTACCCCTTCCCTGTGAGGAGGTGCTCTTTCTACTTATTACAAGGGAAGCTGACATGGCCTCCTCTAGCTTTTACTTTCAGAGCTTATTAGAGAAAAAGGAAAAAAAGGCTCTGCCATTACTGGGACTTGAATTCAGGGTCTCTCACTCTAGCTTTTTGCTCAAGGCTGGCATTTTAGCATTTGAGCTGCTGGGTATTTGCATGTGGTGTTTACAAACCACAACCAAAATGGTATTTACAGCTGGGAAGGTGGTAGAGTGCTTGCCTTGCATGCATGAGGCCCTGGGTTCGATTCCTCAGCACCACATAAGCAGAAAAAGCCAGAACTAGCATTGTGGCTCAACTGGTAGAGCTAGCCTTAAGCTGAAGAGCTGAGGGACAGCACCCAGGCCTAGAGTTCAGCATCCACGACTGGCAAAAAAAAAAGGTATTTACAAAGATTCTAACAATGCAGGAAATGTTTATGTTGAATTTGAAAAAGTTTCATAGTATAAGTTAGGATGATGCCAACCATAAAATTGAACAGATGTACTAGAAAAGAGGTCTAAAGAGTTAATTAAAATTAATATTCACTTAATATGGCCTAGTTTGAGGGTTAAAAGGCTAATAGTGGTTGTCCCTGGGATAATGGTTGATTAGGTTGTTTTCTGTATATCTGAACTTTTCTGTTTTTCTATAATGAGTATGTAGTACATTTTATTATCAGGAAAATAAAGTAATAAAAATTCAAATGGCACAACTGCAGTCATAGCTCCAGTAATAGAACACTTTGAAGACCCTAAGTTCAAACCCCAGTACTGCCAACAAGAAAAACAAAATTCAAAAGACAAAATCAACTTATCTTTCTTTTATCCTTTCAGGTACAATATAAAGAATTACCGTTAGCTGCCTTCTGAAACAAAGAACAATATCTTCTAATTACAAAAATGCTTTTATAGTACATAAAGCTCATCATTACACAGACTAATAGTTTTATTTTTGCCAGTCCTGTGGCTTGAACTCAGAGCCTAGGCACTTTTCTCTGAGCTTCTTTTGCTCAAGGCTAGCCCTCTACTACTTGAGCATAGTGCCACTTCTGGCCTTTTCTGTTCATGTGGTATTGAGGAATTTAACTCAGAGCTTCATGTATACTAGGCAAGCACTCTACCACTAAGCCACATTCCCAGCCCTGCTTCCTCCCTACCCTCACCCCCCCCCCTTTGTGCAAATGATCATTCCCAAGGCCTTCCTTATGTAAGTCAAGCTTTTCACCAGTCCAGTCCATACACTATGTTAGTAGATTACCCTTCTGACATACTAGTCCTACTATCTGGTCATGTGATAAGGTGTACAGCATCAAGATGTCTGGGTGTGCATCCTGTTAACCATTCTTTTTGTTTCTTTTTTTGGGGTCCGGTCATGGGCCTGAACTCTAGGCCTAGGGGCTGCCCCTCAGCTCTTCAGCACAAGGCTAGTGTTCTTCCACTTGAGCCACAGTGCCACTTCCGGCTTTTTTTTTCTCTTATGTGGTGCTGAGGAATCGAACTCTGGGCCTCATGCATGCAAGGCAATAACTCTACCACTGAGCACTTCCCTGCCCCTGTTAACCATTCTATCACAGACAAATTCTGTCCTCTGTGAGCTCAGTTATTTCATCCATTAAAGGATGGTAATAATGCCCAATTCACAAGCTTGTCCTAAGGAATAAAGAAACCATCTGAACATGTGAAGTTATCCTTGGCTTTTGAAGAAAACTCACTGGCAAAGCTCTGACTCTCACTCACCATTCATCAGGAAGGGAAGAGGGCTAGTGGCAGTTGTTAA